ATAAAGAGAGAGATATAAAGAGAGAGATAGAGATGGACATTTATAGAGGTCGACCAAACAGCTGCTAATTACACAGAAAACAAACACACACTCTTTCTGTCAGGAATTAGTCCGGCTTGTGATGGAAGAATAACGGCATTCGCTGGACAACCCAGTGTGTGGCAAGAGTGTGAGCATGTGTGACATGTATGTTTAAGCTTGTGTATGAGTGTGTGTGTGTGCAGAGTTTTTTGTGTATGTAAGCCTATTAAGAGGCAAGTACAGGCACCATATAGTGCCACTAAGAGTTAATATTCCATCACAAGTCTTCCTAATCTCCTTAGAGAGAGAGGGGAGAAAAATAAAGAGAAGAAAGATTAATATAAAAGACGAGAAGGAAAAACTGGAAGCTGGATAAAGGAAAAGAAAGGAGGTGCCAAGGAAATGTGAGTGACTTAAGATCCAGAGGGACAAGAGCTCAGACGCAGATAAAAGCACACCAAGTTAAGAAAATTAGAAAAGGACAGAAAGGGAAAAGGGAGAATTAGGAATGGGGGGAGGGCAGTAACAAGTATAAAAGCCCAAACTTCAAAGCATTAATGATGATCAAATAAAGTAACTTTAAAATCAAAGCAGATGACAACCACTAAGTTAGCAGAGCCTACCATGGCTAATAGACCCACAGTGCTAAAAAAAACAAAAACAATGCTGTCTCAAATGACCACATCGTCGCCAAGTAGGAACAAAATGACAGAAATTTCTCAAAATGTATCAGACTTTACAGCCTGAACATGGATTCAATTCAATAATTTTTATCATGTTGTATGTAGGGAAACATGTAGGGAACAAAGGGGGCCATTTGAGACTGATGTACAAGTAATAAAGCAGTAATGACAATGAACACAGCATCATAGTAGGGATTATGGCTTGGCTTAATGTTTAATGCTTATGAAAAAGCACACAAAGCGTATGGCTGGTTAAGCATGAGTGATGTGCGCGCAGTTGTATGTGTGGACGCGTATGAGGTGCATACAGCACCAAAGGGGTTAAGCTCCCGGGGCGACAAATCCAAAATCAAGCAACTCCTATATGGACAATATATTTGCCCATATAGGAATTGTTTACAGAACGAAAGGGGAACTGGAAGGATGAATTACATTTAGGCAGGATGAAATTAAGGGGACAAGGGAGGGGAATGTCACACTTTGTAATGTCCCACTGGTTAGTCATTTCATGTAATTTATCCTACTTTCAACCAAAATAGCCAGAAATATTCCTTTTTTGCTTTTTATTATCATCTCTACCCGCCTATCCCTGGTTTGTCTGATGTCTGATTCAGCTACATGTTTGGTGAAGTCAAAATTCATTAAAAAATAGAAAATTTTATCAAGGGAAGAGAACAGAAAGAAGGATAAGAGTTTACAAAATAAGACTCTGTGTGTCAGCATATGTCAACCTGCATATGTATATGTGAATGCGAGTGTGTCCTTTGAACCCTGCCTCTCTCAGTGGCAGTCCTCAATCAGACCATCACGGGTAATCTGTAATCTACTGGAGGTTTGGCCTAAATTCCCAAGGGAGCCTAATTTCCTTGTCCAGGAGGGCTTACCCCGCCCTGGGGTAAAGCTGTGGGCCTCCCTGAGCCAGCTGGCAGAGCTCTGGAGAGTACCAGCCAAGGTCTGGGATCCAGTCACTAAGACAGCTGTGGGACTGCTTCATTCACAAACCATGGTGAGTGTGTTTGTATTATGTGTGCGTTAGTGAGGAAGCAACGCTACCTCACAGCAGTTTCTTGAGTTGCCAGTGACGAGAGAGTGTGCGAGAGAACGACTGTTTGTTGTTTTTTTTAAAAACTCACTTTTTACACTGTGTGTGTATATATGTGTTTGTGTACCTGTCCTTGCCGTTCTGGACGCCCTGGCCCAGCGTGGCTCTCTCAGTCAGAGGAGAGTTCCGACTGCGACCAGTACCGGTGGACAGGATGCTATTCTGAAGGAAGAGAATAAGAAGAATGTTAGAAATGACAAATTATTGCTGCAGCCTTGAGCAAGCTTCCTAATCAGTAATGGTGAGTGACTTCAATTGCCTAAAATGTATTAAATCGTTAGTAAATCACGTCTTCAAAATAATTTGCTGAGTATTTTCATTTTTTGCTTTACAATTGAAAAACTATTTCAGTTTCACCTCAGTGTTCTTGAATTGTTATTTAAAGGCCCTGCACTCCCACACAGGTACTTTCCGTTACCCAGACACATTAACTATCTGCTTAAGCTGAGGTTGGGTGGGGCTATACTATATACTGGGAATTACACTATGTCACCTTAGTCCACATGCTAAAAAAATGATAAAAGTCTAAGTGGTCCGATGGTCCTGCCCAGGGGTGGTACATAATTAACAGGAGAGAGATAGAGATGTAGATCAAAAATGATCTGTACACACCCACATAGCCCTGGCTCATTCTCACACTGTCATGGCTTACTTGGACACTTAAACAGAATGGAGTCATCGTTTATGTTGCTGGTAACATGTGTCCTTTTCTGACTGACAATTCAAAGTGGTGTTGCAAATGACATGTAAGCAGTTTGAGTGTTTGGTCTCACGGTGGAGGGCGTGGCGCTCTTCTTGCGGTCAGAGGAGACCAGAGGGCTGGCCGGCACCTTGGTAGTGGAGCTGCCTGATGAACCTTTCCTCCCAGAATCCTCCGCTGCAGTCCGGTTATCTGCTTGACCTCCCCTCTTAGAGTAGGAGGAGCCTAGAGAAAGAAAAGCAAAGGGAGTGCATCAGAAAAGCCATCACTTGATCCCATCCCTGAGCTACTGACAGTTGACCACCTCAAGCTGATCCCTAATCTGCTTCCCACCAGCTTCCCCTCCGACACACACCAATCTCACCCTGGTCGGTGGCTCTGCGGTTCTGAGGCTTCTGGTTGGATGACACACTGCGCTGTACCTTAAAGAAGTAAGTAGGACAAACACGTCAGTATGGTATTTGTTATGTAAACCTGTAAAAGGGTGTTTACACACACATTGGGATGTAAGTATTCAAGCAGAAATAGCTGGATTTATAGCTGCTGTTAGTCTGTAGAGCCCTTCGCACATGAAACCTACAACATTGGTGAATTAAAGCATCTGGGCAAGGCATTGGTTGCTGTAGTTCACATGTGTGTAGGTCCACAATCTAAAACATGAAAATTACCTACAACACCAGAGTTGATTCCCAGAGTGTGTTGGTGAAAAATATGTGGTCAAGTCAACGTACTTGTGTCACTGGCTGGAGTTGGAAGACCTCATTATGTGTTAGCAGAGGACATTATGTGTTCTCATTATACCTTGTGAGGCGGGGAGGGGGCGTTTATGTTGCTTACATCACTTCCTGGCCGGGGCTTGATGCAACCTTCGTCCAGCTGAGGAGTGGAAAGAAACAACACAAATCTGAATATCTGTGTATCAGGAGATGCAGAGAGACAGTGGTGTGGCTACAACAAACACAAAGGACTAAAAATAGAGCTTTTTACATGGTATTGTTATGAGAATACTAAAGTGTTTTGAGCATAAATATATGTGAGATGACAGCAAATTGTATGTTCTGATGGCTTGAAGGCAAACTAAAAATGAAGCCCTACATTTTCTTGTATATAACGATGAACTCACTTAAGCATGTTTGTTTTCTAGTTTTCTGTATAACATCAGTGTAAATGCAGCTAAAGGAGCTCTGACAAACCAATGACTGGCACGGTAAAATGAAAAGCGTGTAGGTGTGAGAAAGAAACAGTGTACCTCAGAGTTCCTATAATCCAGTAGCAGATAGGCAGCCATCACATCATTGTACTTCTGGTTCACCAGCGAGTCCTGGATCTCCTCCTGAGAGAATCCCATCTGCAGCATGATGTCTGCACACACAAAACCAGTTTATAATTAGAATAGAGAGCTTCCTGCAGGTCCATAATTCTCCTTAAGATAAATCATCCTTGTATGTGTGAGTGGAGGAAAAGAACATCTGTGCTCAAATGTGTCTGTGCATGGCTAAAGAAAGGAATATATTTATCATTTTTTGAGTGTGTTTCTGTGCCTACCTGTCCTCCTGGGGTCCTTATAATCTGGCTGTGGTTCGATGTAGGGTTTGAGTTCTTCCTCCTCGTAGCCCACATTCATCCACCGGTCCCTCATTATCTGCTGCTGGGAGCAAGCCAAACAGACAGATATAGGGAGACATGAGATGTCAAAGGCGATAAAGAGGCAAAAAGCAGAGGAGGAAGGAAAGGTTGAGGAATGAGAGGAGGGGAGGAGAGAGGGTAAAGAGATAAAGAGACACGACAAGTTGGCAACACAATGGAAAAGGATGCAGAATTTAGCTGAACATCACAAATGAATTATACACTATTCATCTGTTTGATCAACTAATCTTGACAATTAATTAGTGTTTTCTAATAAGCGTAGACAGAGCTAACTAGGAAATGAGGGGTTTGACTTTTAACAAACAGGCTATAAAGATTCAAAAGTTGGGAGTGATCACAGGTGCAAAACTGATTCATATCAATCTTTTGGCTGCTTAGAAATGAAGACGCATTGTATACAAACTTTAAGGTAGGTGTAAATGAAACAGTCACAGGACTGAATTCTAACACTAAAGCTTGAGTCTTCTTTCTGTATTTTTACAGGGCTGCCATAACATTCAGCAGGTCAAGGCAAAAATCTAAATTAAGAATATGTGTTTAATCTAAAACGTTACTGGGAATTTGGTTAACTCAAATGGCAAGTGACACCTGCTACTCAGCAAGAGAGTTATATACCTTTTCTTTTTCTTGCAATCATGAGCAATAACTTCCAGGTGCTGTTCATTTGCCTTTAGTGCAACCAAATTTGGTAACTCATAAATCCCAAACTAACAAGTATTTACTATGCCTTTAAAAAGCACTTTACACATAAGCAACAAACTCACATGTAGCTGGAGAAGCGAATCCAGGTATAAGTCTATCTATCTATCTATCTATCTATCTAGTCTAGTACTGTGTGTGCTACATACACCATTCGATTAGCAAATTAACAATCACTGCTCAAGTTATTAGGAGATGGACAATATTGGTTGTTTCCAGTTTTATCAAGTTAAATATGAGGAATTTTAAATCTGGTTCAGTTTGAAAATTGCATTTTTGTGTGTGTGTGTGTGAATGCAGTGTACCTCGAGGCTGCCTCTTTTGGAGGGGTTCAGGATGAGAAACTTTTTGAGCAAGTTCTCACAGTCCGTAGACATGTAGAAAGGAATCCTGTATTTACCACGCAGCACGCGCTCTCTTAGTTCCTGCAGAAGGACAAGGGCATGGAGAGTCAACAACAGATTCTAAAAAATCCACCTTCAAAACATGCACACAAACCTTTTCTCTCACATCTGAATGTTCTGTCAAAGGGCAGCGACCTTCCACGATTGTGTAAACACCCCAGACTATCCAAAACGGTTTAATGAAAATGAGGGTCTATGAAACAGTGTTTGAACAATAAAGGACTTGACTCAGAATGTGTGTGATATGGCTTGAATTAGCCTAGTACAAAGTAGCTATGGTTTGAAAAAGCTACGTATATGGGTGATATTACTAAAACGTATTATTCATACATATATACATGTATATGTATTTTGATAATGCTGATATTAGATTTTGTTCAACTGTTATACAATCAAAAAACATGAATAATTTAAGATAATGCAGTTGTTAAAAAAGCACTAACAGCCAGACACAAATAACCAAAATCATAGCTCAATATTTGTAACCTACTTCAGTGGCCTTTATCAACACATTACATTTGAATGGTCTACCACTAAACTCATTAACTATTCAATGTTACTTCCCCCACTAGAAGGGTCCTAATAATTATCATTTACTGAGGCTCTGACGGGTAAATGCATGTAGTGACTGGTTTTAACACAGCTGTGATGTATATGTAACAAGCTGTTAAGGAGCTTACATCGTGAAGCATTGAATTTGCATACCAATCTATCAAATTGAGTGTTAGGGTTTTAAAATTGCAAATTTATCTTTTGAAGTGCTGAAACGTTCACATAATCTTAGTCAGAAATGTTTAACTCTTTTTGTCAGTGCATCAGTTAGACACATTTAAAAGAACAAACACATTTTATTACAGTGAAATCAGAAAACAGTGAGGCTCCTATCTGTAAACTAAATAGTAAGACCAGTAATGTAGGTGTTAAACTAAACTCCACACAGCAGGAGATAGCGCAAAGGCATACTAGAAAAAGCTGGATGGCAGTTCGCAGGCATGTTAATATCAATATCATCACATTCAATGTCATATCGCCCACCCAAAATGTGTCTGCACTTCCAGAGTGAGTCATGTGGGTACTGACTGAATTCACGGTGTGATAGGTGGTATGAATAATTGTGAATAACTATAGTTAACAGAAAGCATTAAATCCTAAAGGTTTTAGTTCCTGTTTGGTGCAGCACAACACCAAACCCCATTTACTAAGTACTTGGGGGTTGGCATTTAATCACTTTTACACATTCACTCTCTCTCAGGTTTGGTTTTTGCATTCTGTACGGCAGAGGGAACCCAAACCAGCATGACAAATACTACAACCACCCACAGAACACAGACATCCGCTTATATAAGGCACACAAACACACACTCTCCTCATCCTGACCTTGAGGTTCTGTCCATCGAAGGGCAGCGAGCCGCTGACCAGCGTGTAGAGGATCACCCCCAGGCTCCAGACGTCCACCTCGGGCCCGTCGTACTTCTTGCCCTGGAAGAGCTCTGGGGCAGCGTAGGGTGGAGAGCCGCAGAACGTGTCAAGCTTGTTCCCCAGAGTGAACTCATTACTAAAGCCAAAATCTGCTATCTTGATGTTCATGTCTGCGTCCAGCAGCAGGTTCTCTGCCTGCAGGCAGACAAGCGTGTAGGGGAGAGAGAGGAAAGGAAAACATAATTATGATGTAGACAGCAGAAGGATGTGGAGGCAAACAACAAGAAAAGGATGGAGAAATAAAAAGATTATTAATATGCTGGGATTTTGTTTCTGAATACTACTTATGCTAAAAACATGAAACACAAATAATTTGCATACATTTGCTTAATGTGATATGGTAATGTGATATTTTATTTTACTTTTTCTAGAGGAAGGTCAGAGCTATATAAAGTTAAAAGCTAGCTTGTACAGCCGAAAAATAGAGTTTAACAATTGGCAACCCTGTCATCGAGTGCCAGTGTAACAAAGATTTTCTCTGACATGCAAATGAGTTTGAAAATAATATATTTCACAGACAGTTGTCTAAAACACCTTTCTCTGGGGAAACACCTCTGCTGGGTGAGAGAGGGAGTTTTCAGGGTAATGGCGTTGAGCCTACAAGTAGCATACAATGGGCAAAGTGAGCTGCCACAGTTTATTCCTGTGTGTGTGTGTGTATCCCTAAGCCTAAAGTGAGCCAGTGAGCAAGGAGGCTGGGGTTGCCTAGCAACAGGTGCGCTCTCCTTTTCACTTGCTCTGAATACTCTGCCACTTCTGCGTGTTTGAGTGTGTGAGAGGGTGTGCGTGCACATTAAATACAACACTGACATCATCTCTAGGCTCTGACCTAAGAAATACATAAACAACGGCTTGTCATTTTTTTTGCCAACAGAATTAAAAAATCTATAGCAAATGAACACTTTAAGATTACCAAACAACAAAATGTAACTCTTTGATGTTGGCTTAAAAAAAAAGAAAAAAGAGAGAACCACCAGTATAGTAGATACGGCCGTATAAACCATATGTAGGATTTTTCATCTTAGGATACAAACAGTGATTGATTTTAGTCTCACTGTCCAACACATACTCATCAACATTTGCTATTGCAGTAAAGGACCTACTAGAGTCAAGCGTGTGTGATTTCCCATTACAACCCATAGATCAAGAGTGATTAGGATAATGTGCAGGATGGTACGCATTACAGTAATGAAAACTGTCTGTCTGTCCTCAAGAAATCTCTTATTTCCCATGCTGCCTTCTTTGTAACAGCCAACCATCATTACCTGCTAAAAGGGGAGAAAATGTTTTATGACCTTGGTCAAAGCGCTGAAAATGTTTATTAAAAAGCCAAAAATAACCATGAGTGGAAAAAACTACTTTGAGATTAGAGGTTCCTGTATGGTTACTGTAAAAGTAATCATGAAAATGTCTTGTCCACAGGTCTGTCTGCTGGCACACTAAGAGGATTTACAACTCTGCATAATACTATGAACCAAAATGACCTGGGAGCATTAGACCTGTCTGTGTGCGTGTTGTTTCATTTCTGGCACCAACTGAAGTCAATCAAAAACAGAAGGAATACATTAATGAAGAGACACAAAGGGAGAGGGACCCAGTAGGGAACCCGTCAGGAGAACTGCATAGGAAGTGTGTGTGTACACATTTATGGTTATGTGTGTTGAAGCCCTAGCACTCAAAGAGGGACATTATATAATCTTTGTGATTAACCTCTGGGTCGCTTATTCATGGGGACAGGATTTCATCTCAAACAGTCAAATCCTGACTTCAAGATTAATGTGGGGAGAGAGAGAGAAAGAGAAAAGAGAGAGAGAGAGAGAGAGAGAGCGCTTGCTTGTGCCACTCAATGTAATTCAATAATGTTTGTGTGTTCTCACCTTGAGGTCTCTGTGTACTATACACTTCTGATGGCAATACTGCACCGCTGACACAATCTGGAGAGTGAGAAAGTGAGTGAGAGAGAGAAAGAAGGAGAGGGAGGGAGAGAGAGAGATGAAGTGAGAAAAGAAATGGTTAGACAATGAAGTCAAAGACACAGAGCTCTTAATTAGGGTTTGCGAAAAAAATGCAAAATGGGTCTTTTTGTTTTATACTGTTTATTTTCAAATTGCACCACAAACAAATTAGCTATTTATTGATCAATTAAATAACTACTTTTTATTCCCAGATTGAATCAATATACGCCTGTCTCTCAAACACACACCTGTCTGAATTTGGCACGGGCTTCTTTCTCCTTCATCCTGCCATGGGCCACCAAGTAATCAAAGACTTCTCCTGGGAGACGAGAGAAAGAAGAGGAGAACAGATTTAGCGTTGGAACCTGATACTTGTCGCTTTAAAACCAGAGTATTGGGTCAATGGGACATTGAACTAAGTATTGTCATTTAAAAATAACATATGGGCACAGACAGTTTAGGCTGTAATTATTTTTACTTAAATTAAAACAGAAATATTTTAAAAACAATGTGTAATTTTTAATGCAACGAGGATAGAGATGAAACAAACTAAAATGAAATAAAAACAGGATGTTTCTGTACACTAACAGGTGAGGTAGCATTTTTACTTCTTATTCTAACATACAGAGTGCTGAGTCCTCGGGGGGGATGAATGACACGCACTGACCTCCACTGGCGTACTCCATCACCAGGTACAGAGTCTTCTCTGTCTCTATCACCTCAAACAGCTTCACTGAGGACAGACAGGTACAGAGAGACAGACAGTCAGAGAGACAGACAGTCAGAGAGACAGACAGTCAGAGAGACAGGTACAGACAGACAGACAGGTACAGAGAGACAGACAGTCAGAGAGACAGGTACAGACAGACAGACAGGTACAGAGAGACAGACAGAGAGACAGACAGTCAGAGAGACAGGTACAGACAGACAGACAGTCAAGTACAGACAGGTACAGACAGGTACAGACAGACAGGTACAGACAGATACAGACAGACAGACAGACAGGTACAGACAGGTAGATACAGACAGGTACAGACAGGTTATTTAGAGCCAGTGGGTTTCAGACCTCACCTGTCAGCATTACACAGGGAAAGTAGGCCTGCCAGACAATCAGCTGACTCACAGTTACAATGACCCGTTATGAAACTCTGAGGATTATATAATATATTATATTATATTGATATTATATATAATATAAATATAATATAATATAATATTTATACTATATATATATTATATTATATTATAATTAATATATATATAATATAATATAATTAATATATTATATATAATCATATTTATATTATTATTATTATAATATAATATAATATAATATAATATAAACTGGATAATATAGAATAAGGACAATAACAGAAAGCTGGATTAACTGTAAGTGTTTGCCGAGTTACAGAGTGACCCCAGCAGATGTGTCCAGCTGTCGTTGTGTTGTTCTACTCTGTCTCTCTCTCTCATCTGTCTCATCTCTCTCTGTCTCTCTCTCTGTCTTGTCTCTCTCTCTCTGTCTTCTCTCTCTCGTGTCTCTCTCTCTCATCTCTTCTCTCGTCTCTCCTCATCTCTCTCAGGTGTCTCTCTCTTCTCTCTCTCAGGGTGTCTCCTCTCTCTCTCTCTCTCTAGGTTCTCTCTCCTCTCTCTCTCAATCAGGTGTCTTCTTCTCTCAGGTGTCTCTCTCTCTCTCTCCTCTTCTCTCTCTCTCTCCAGGGTGTCCTCTCTCTCTCTTCTCTCTCAGGTGTCTCTCCTCTGATCTCTCTCTCTCAGTAGTGTCTCTCTCTCTCTCTCTCTCTAGTGTCTCTCTCCTCTCTCTCTCCAGGTGTCTCTCTCTCTCTCTTGTTGTCTCCTCGTCTCTCTCTCTCTCCAGCGGTTGTCTCTCTCCTCTCTCATCTCTCTCAGTCAGGTGTCTCTCCTCTCTCTCAGGTGTCTCTCTCATCTCCTCTCCTCTCTCAGTGTCTCTTCATCTTCTCTCTCTCCTCTCCTCTCTCTCCTCAGGTGTCTCTCTCTCTCAAGGTGTCTTCTCTCTCTCTATCCAGGTGTCTCTCTCTTCTCTCTCAATCAAAAGGTGTCTCATCTCTCTCTTCTCAGGTGTCTCTCTCTGCTCTCTCCTGTTCTCTCTCTCTTCTCTCAGGTGTACTCTCTCTCTCTGCTCTCGTTCCTCCTCTCATCCAGGTTGTCTCTCTCTCCAACTCTCAGGTGTCTCTCTCCGTCTCTCTCTCATCTCTCTCCAGGTGTCTCTCTCTCGTCGTCTCAGGTGTCTCTCTCTCATCTCTCAGGTGTCTCTCTCCTCATCTCTCCTCCTCCTCTCTCCGTCTCTTCAGGTGTCTCTCTCTTTCGTTCTTTCTCTCTCAGGTGTCTCTCTCTCTCTTTCTCTTCTCTCTCCATCCTCTCACAGACTCTCAATCAGGTGTCTCTCTTCTCTTCGTCTCTCAGGTGTCTTCCTCTCTCCTCTCCTCTCTCAGGTGTCTCTCTCTCTTCTCTTCTCTCTCTCAGGTGTCTCTCTCTCTCTCCTCAGGTGTCTCCTCTCCTCTCAGGTGTCGTTTCTCTCTCTCAGGTGTCTTCTCTCTCTCAGGTGTCCCTCTCTCTCCTCCTCCAGGTGTCTCTCTCTTTCTCTCTTCATCTCTCTCTCTCTCAGGTGTCTCTCTCTCTCTCCAGGTGTCTTCTCTCTCCTCTCAATCTCTTCTCTCTCATCTCTCTCTCAAGGTGTCCTGCTCTCGTCTCTTTCTTCCTCTCTGCAGGTGTCTTTCTCTCTCTCTCTCATCTCCTCAGGTTCTCTCTCTCTCTCTTCTCTCTCCTCTCAGGTGTCTCTCTCAGGTGGTCTCTTGCCTCTCTCTCTCTCTCTCTCTCTGCTCCAAGGGTTGTCTCTCTCTCTCTCTCTCTCTCCTCTCTCCTCTTCTCAAGGTACGGAAAACTTTAAACCTGACTCAATTTCTGAAACGGAGTCCGGTGCGTCGGCACAGGCTAGCGCTGTGTAGCAAACGTTAGCCTCTGAGACCGAAACACCAACGAGTAAGAAGTGTCAGAAGATTCAATGACGTTAAATGAAACAACACACACACACACAACACACAACAGACAGACACACACACACACACACACACAGACACACCACCACACAGCACCACACCACAGACACAAACACTTCACACACCACAACACAACAGACACAGACAGACCAGACACACACACAACACACACACCACACACACACCACCAGACCACACACACACACACACCACAGACAGCACACACACACAGACAGACACCAACACAACAACCAAACAACACACACCACACATTATCACATATAAACGTGTGTGTGTGTGTGAGGCTCAGTTAGCGCAGCAGCTCGTGCTCAGCTCGTGCTAACAGACTGTAAACTTAATAAAATCAGAAAAACACTAAATATCCTAAAATAAAAAGTGCACGCACGCACTCACCGTGAAGCACCGCGTGGGGAACGCTTCCTGCTACGTCACTGAGGCCACGCCTCCTTCACAGCTGATTTAATGGACATGCGCAGTAGTAAATATTATTTTATTGTAGAAATGTAATGAGTTTTATTTATTATTGTTTTATTAAACAAATCAATAAAAAGGGAAAAAATACTTTTATTTTATTTTATGACTTCTTCTTCTTCTTTTTCTTATTGTTGTTGTTTTTAAATTCATTCTTATTTATATTTATTTATATAGATGTTTCAGACTGATTATTGAACACAGAGAAAAAGCTTTCTGTCTTCATTATGTGCTGTTGGTTTATGTCCTTCATTAATAAAACGTCCAGTTCTTTAATGGGAACAGATTATTTATACCAATGTTTGTAATTAGTCATGTAATCCAAATGTAATCTGAAAACATTGAAAATATTCCACCTTCAACTAAAGAATCAGACGCAGCAACAAATAATCTTTTCTCTTTTCTTCTTTCTTTGTGTTTTCAGTCAAACACATCGGAGGAAACAGGAGGAATTATTTCCTCAGAAATAAAGAAAAAAGAACTCAAATTAATATCAGAACAAATAAGCAGAAACATGAAAACAGAAATGAAACAGATCTTTCTTCTTCCCACATTCAGTATTCAGTGTGTGTGTGTGTATAAACTAGTTTATAATGGCAGCATCGTCAAATATACACTGTACAAAATCACCAACTAACAGTGAAGCTGTGTTTAATTTACAGTAACGTTTAGAAACATTTCAGTCTGAAACCAGAACTGATCCAAACTCTAAAAACAAATGTTTTGGCTCACCAAAAAAATAAATATATATATATATATATATATATATTTATATAATGCAACAGTTTGCATCAATTGTTTTGAGTCATGACAACTGATGAAATTATGTTTGACTAATGTAACTACACTTTACTGAATAATCTGTGTTTGTACTGTGAGAAGAAAATACCCAGTAAATATAACTTATGTAATAATGTTTCTATAACTGATATAATATGATCCATTTCAACAATTATTTCAATTAAAATAACTTATTGCATTACTAATTTAAATAGTTTCAACTAGTTTATTTATGTCAACACAACTCATCGAAATGTTTGTAACTTAAACGCTTTGTCCAAATGAATTAATTAGATGTTTATCTTGCAACCATGAATTTAATTAAGTACTAAAAGGAATTACTGAAGCACTTTTTAGAGTGTGAGTCCTGCTTCTAGAAGTCCCTCTCAGGTTCCTGTTGTGGTTCGGTGCCTTGCTCAGAGGCTCCCGGCAGGACAAACAGAGGGTTTCAGTCTCCGCAGGAGACGAGGACAAACCGTCCATCATCACATCAGCAGCCGTCACGTCCCATTTCTTTCCCACTCCACTTCCTGTTGTCGACAGGAAGGCTTAAAAATAGAGCTGTCAATCACACGGCGAGTCCGGCACCGCTGGGACTCGAACTGGCGCTCAGGAGGATTAATTATAGTCATTTACCAAAATCAGCACTTTGAAACGTCGACGCAGAGTCGGTGTGATTGAGCTGAGAGCCGTAAAAACGAGCTTTCAATCACAGCGGCCGCAGGAGGAAGTTCTGAAGTAAACGGAGATATTTTAACATGAAGGTTTGAAGTAAACTGAGATAAGAACTGCTTTTAGATCAGAGGAGCTGCTGCTGCTGTCACTCACTCTCATTAATAATAATATTCATACAAATACTCAACATACTGCTGTCTGTCTCACTGCCTGTCTCACTGCCTGTCTCACTGCCTGTCTGTCTGCCTCCGGACGCATCCTCAGCTTCAGCCTCTGAGTTAAAGGATAATCCTTATTCCAGCTTTTATTTTGGTAGTTTTCAGGACTAAAACTCAGTGATAGAGGAAGTATTCAGATTACTGAAGTAAAAGTACAAATATCACTGACAGATCCTCCATCAGACACAGACCCTAACCCCTAACCCTAGTCCACAACCCTAGTCCACAACACAGTCCA